GGCCGTGCCCTGGATGCATATTTGTGTGCGGTAGCGGTCAGGGTGAAGCCACATCTCAAACACGTTGTGGCTCTGCGTGGGGAGGGCAGCGCAGGGATGGGGTGTGGTCCTGTTGAGGACACTGCAAGATCCTGTACAACAGAGTTGAGCAGCAGCAGGGAATATGCAAAAACAGAACAATTTCAAGGAGGAGATTCTTGCAGTCCTGCTCAATAAGCGGCCGCTCACCTTGGTGCAAGTGTCGCCTAAGGGGCACGACTCCCCCCGGCGCACCGAGGGGCACATCACCGCCTCGTAGCGCGCAATGGCCAGGGGGCGGCGGCGCCCGTGCTCCCCCGGGTGGACAAACGGGCAGCTCTTCCTGCACGAAGACGTAGGAAGGGGGGCAGTGCAGATTGAGGGTCGTGAGGGGCGCAACTCAGGTGCCTGGTAAGATCCAGATCAGTTGTGAAGAAGCCGAGGGTGACCCCGATGCTGCACCCATCAGGGATGCTAGCGCCGGTGCCCCTGGCCAGGTGCACGTCTACGACCGCGACTGCTGGCACTGACTGATTGGACCGGCCCGCAGTCACTCACATCCTGGCATTAGGGGGCCCAACTCAACAAGGTGGCAACCTGTGCGATCAGGCCAAGCTCAGCTGCAGTCCGGACGCAGGCCGCAACGCCCTTCTATCGGCTCGTGGCTGGGCGTCGCATCGACACAGGCGGCGACGCTGGCTCACCAGTCGTGGGTGGTGCGCCGGTTGCAGGCCATCACCTTGTAGCAGCTGTTGGGGAGCAAGACAGCGCGACGGAGCGGCCACTTCAGGGCAGTCGCGGCCCGCGCGCGCTTCATCGCGGGCAAGCATCACGATGCATCACATACAAGGCAGGCCGAACGCCGGGCGCCATGCAACTAGCTGCGGCCGCGCGGCCACGCGTCCTGTCCTCTCACTTGATGCGGAACTCGTCGGTCTGGTAGAGCGCGGGGTCAGGGGCGCGCTCCTTGGAGCCCATGCCGCGGCCGCCGGCACCGCCGGCTGCGCTCGCGCTGAGCTTGTCGTGGGGCGTGCTGTAGGGTGTTGCCGCCCCGACGTCCCCCGCCAGCTGCGTGTCGTCCGCAGCGTCCGCAACAGCTGCTCTGCACCACGCCATCACCTTCTCTTCGGCAGAGGGCGGTCGCAGGGCGTTGCAGGGTGCAGCTTTGGGCGGCGCGCGACGCTTTGGCGCCGCTGCTGTTGGCTGTTCCGCGTCTGGGAGCTCCTGGAGGTCGTGAGCACCCGCCTGAGCGATCATCAGACTGTTCAAGTCGGACTGAGGGGTCCGACCTAGTCTGGTCTGTGACGATCAGCGTGAACGGAAGCACTAGGGAGGCCGGTGGGCCCACGGGGACCGTCTGGCTAAGCTCCAGGGGTTACGGCTGGATGATAGGGAATACAACAGATACGATAGGGCTTCCAGCTTCGAACCAGGCCGTTTGAACGGTCGATGCGACGTCACTGGGCGCAAAATACGATAGGAATTTGATGAGCTCACGGCGCGTGCCTCTTGGTTCACAGGGAGGCAAAATTATGTATTTCAACAATTGCGTCGTATAGTGCACTGTCATGGTGGCCAGCTGCAGTGCCCACAGGAGCGCAGATCCAGGGCTCGATTGCGGGGATCGCCATGTGGCGTGGCGGTGCCCCCCCGCATGTCGGTCAGCCCCATACAGGGCGCCGCAGGGGTAACCCCGACCCCGCATAACTGCGTGCAGCACAATCTGCATAAGCAACCCTTTCACAGCTGCGCACCCGATATGCTCCGTGCAAAAGCAACCCGGATTAGCTCAATCATCCATGATTACTCATCTTCACACACGCGGCTGCTCGGGGCTCGCACACCACAGCGGCCCTGCAGGCGTGCGCACTACCCCGCAGCAACCGCCATCAGATTCCGCTGTGGCTGTCGCATGTTGATGTGGAAAAGGACGTCAAGAGCGCGCTGGGCGCTGCGCAGTCATGGGCTGCTGGCGTGGGAGCGCCCACAGCCGGTCCCAACGCCCAGCCGCGCCCTGACGTGCAGCAGCTCGCACCGTGCCCGCTGCTGTGGCGGGCGCAGCGCCCGGCCGCCAGCATGGCACACCCCGTGCACGTCGCGACAGGCTGCAGGGTGTATGTCGCCGCTAATTGCCCAGGCCGCACGGCGCAGCGTATAAAGGCCAGAGCTTGGATCGCAACCATCCTCCTACTCGTCGGCTTTGCGGTGCTTCTCCCTGCGGGGTGAGGCCGCAGCGGCGAGGCGGCGTGGTGAGGCCTCTACGATGGCATCTCCCCCGCCACTGCCACTGCCTCTGCCGTTGCCACTGTCACCACAACAGCAGCAGCAGCAGCAGCAGCAACAGCAGCAGCAACAGTACGGACCTTTCAATGAAGGCAGGCATGTGCGCAACAGCCAACACAGCGCTGCTTCCTGCGCTGCCCTTGCCACCCTCTCCCTACATCCTGTGTACACCTGAACAGGCACAAAGATCGAGATGTGAGCACACGCCTGTGAGTCGCCCTGATTCCCTCCACCCCACCCCACACCACCCCCTCACTTTTTCTCCTTCTTGTCGTGCTTGTGCTTGCGCTCCTTCTTCTTGCCATCCCCCTCCTCAGCCTTCTTCTCACCAGCTGCCGGCGCTGCCGCCGCCGGAGGGGCCTCCAGTGCCAGCACGGGCGCGTCCGCCTTCTTGGGGCGCCCTGGCGGCCCCTTGGGGGCCGCCTCCGCCTTGGGCTGTGTTGGGTAGTCCTTGTACCTGTGGGGGTCGGGTTGGGGTAGGAACAAGGCAGGGAGGGAAGGACGGTGGCGTCGCAACAGGGCGGAGCAGCTGCGTCACACAGGCGAGCAGGGCGCAGGCGTGGGACCAGCAGAGGGGAGCGGACCGCATGCCGTCAAGCCCAGGGCAACACCTAGTCGGCCACCCGCGCAGCAGCCCCCCTGCTGCAGAGCCCCTGGCGGCACCGTGCCAACGCAGGCAGAACCCCATCAACCCTCTCCCCATCCCGCCCCCTCGGCTTTGTCGGCCCCCTCACTTGCTGATGAGTGCGGTGAAGTCTATGGCCTCTGCCCCTGTCTCACGCTCCAGCTTCTTGAGCTCCTCAGGCAGGCCGCCGGTGGCGGTGCCGGCGCTGAGGGCCGCGTTGTAGCGCTCCCTGGGGTGAGGTGGTGGTTGGGTGGGCGGGTGGTGAGCATGAAGGGGGGAGATAGCGTTGGTCGAGGGTAGCAGGGGTGTGGCCAGGTGGCGTGGAGGAGTGGTGAGGTCGGCAGGGTCAGGGAGGTCTGCGGCAGGGGGAGCAAGCGGCCGAATGAAACAGGAGCGCGGCCCAGAGGGGCCCTGTGTGGGCCCCTGGGCGGCAGGGCGCCCTTCCAGAAAGCCGGGTATCCGCGAGCACTGCCGCGCCAAGGATGCCCTGCCCAGGCTGCCCTCTGCGAGGACTACTGTTGTGCCCACGCAGCACGCCTCGGCCTGGCTTTGATCCCCAGATAATTGGGGCTGTTGTAGGCAGCCCTGCACCCACTTGAGGGCGTTGAGGCGCTCCTCCACTTTCCCCTTGACCGCCGGCGGCAGCTTGTTCCACGTCTGGCCCACCTGTTGGGGGAGGGGGGGGCACATGTGGGTGGGCTTTGATTGTTGCGGCCTGCAGCGAGTCAAGGTGCAAGACCCCACACCCGTGGGGCCAAGGGGGGGACCCCGCCTAGCAGGAAGGGTCCGCGGGCTGCGCCGCCCTCGTGTGCCTTGCGGGTGTCCCACAACGCCCGCCAAGCACCGCCCTGGCGCGCCACGCTGCGCCCCCCTGGTGGCCCACCAGTGTCATGTTGGCCAGGTCCCCGCGGTTGGAGGCCTTGAGGGCCGCCATGGTCAGGGTCGTGAACGCCTGGTGGGGGGCGAGGGGGAGGTGGGGGGCGCGAGCATGAATGGGGTGGTGCACGAACCAGTGGAGAGCGGCAGCAGGGTTGAGCCACGCAGCTGTGCAGTCTAAAACGCCACACTGTGGTATTTGGGCAGTTCCAACACGGCACTGGCCCCGTGCGCCACAGTCAGCAGCGCCCAGCCGCCCCGCACCATGTATGCACTGCGCACGGCCTTGGGCCCGCCGCCGCCCCCGGCGGCCTTGGGTGCCTTGACCCCCGCGAGCATGCGCTTGACAGCCGGCAGCTTCTTGGCCTGGGCTATGGCGCGGTCCACCTGACACGGGCCGCAGGGGTGAACAGGGGCCATGGAGGGGTGGGATGGAGGGATCCCGGGTGAGGTGCCTCCAGCGCCACCTGTAGCATTCGACGCCTTGCAGGGGTGCAGCGGGTGGCTTCCTGTCCGCACCAGTTGGGACGATGGAACACCGCCAACCCCGATGGGCCCCTGCTGCCACCCAACCGCTCACTCGCATTGCTGCATCTGCTGGAATTGTAGGCAATTGCTGCGCACACTTGGCACACTCATCCACCGACTTCCCACTCACGCAACCCATACTCCCCCCTTGTGTGAAACCCTGCAGCGGGTGTGTACCTCACGTCTCCGTCCCACACCCCCTGTATCGCCCATCCCCCCCCCTCACCTGCTCCTCGTTGAGAACGGCCGTGAGTGTGCTGCGCACCAGCTCAAACATGCCCTGAAGGCAGAGGATGGCGCCGCACAAAGGGTGCAGCGGGCAGCAAGGGCGGCAGGTGAGACCCGCAGGCGTGCACCTCCAGCTGCGCAGCTGCAGCCGTCGCCGCGTGCCCCTCCCACGCTTCACCACCCCGGTGAACTATCAGCTGCACGAAAAGTGCCGGGTCGCGCAGGCAAGCGCGGCCGGCGGGTGCGCCTGGGCGGGTCCGCCCTGTCGACACGGCCGCCCCCAACCCCCGCCCCCGCACCTCCATAATCGCGCTGGCGTTGGCCACATTGCGCGCGCGCTTCTTGGTGACCTTGCCTTCAACCGGCGCCATGGCGGCTGCTGCTGCTTTCAAGATTCTTTAATACGTTTGGAGCTGCCGCCTTGGTCGCTGCCGTCTAAGCCGCTCGTTGAGACGCGCTCTTCTGGGCCACTGAGCCGCGATTGGCTTCCCTGCAATCGCGGCAGGGCGGCGATTGGGCGAAAGCCCAGTCGAGAGGGAGACAGGGGGACGTGAGCGGAACGCCGGTGCCTCAAGGCGGGCTTGTGCCATGTGCGGTGCTTGCAGGACCGCCTCCGCGCCAGCCTTTGCTGCTTGTCCTCGCCCGGCGGCCGCAGCGCGTTTGGGACGTCGGCGAGGACGCCGTTGTTGTCATGCGCGCAGTGCCCAGACCCAATGCAGGCTGGCGTATACAACCTGCCGATATTTCCTTCGGCCAAATATCACAGCCGCCACGGCCGGCTGGCAAGCTCACCGAGCCTCGCAACAAGATCAGCTTGGCACTCGCACTACCAGTTGCTCGACCGTTTAGAATGCTCGGAATGCATGATCATAGACATTCATAATATGCACGAAGTGTCTTGATGTTCGACAAAGTTTCAAACTCGTCTTTCACAAGAAAAGACCGCCGGCAGGCACTCGTTGGCAGGGTCCGTGGCCAAGGACAGCCCCCATATAATGCTACCATAGGATGTTGTCGCATGCTGAATGGGGCACGACCAGCAACCTGGCCAGCCGGCCTCCAGGGGCGCCCCACACGGCTGCTGCAGCGGCAGCGGCAGTGGTGCCGCGCTTGGTACCGCTGCGGCCGGTGCTGCGGACCCCGCGATGGGCGTGGGTGCTAGAACGGCCGCGCCTGCCGCGCATCCTTGCCGCGACACAGGATGTGACAGCACCAGCCGGCCAAGGGGCCAGCCCTGGTCCTGGCATGGCTCCGCAGCAGGGCCGCCCACGAGGTATGAAGCCGGCCGCGGGCGCTGTAGCCGATCAGAACGGCAGCCACGCCATCAGCACCGTCAGGAACACCATCAGCAGCAGCAGCAACAGCAACGGCAGCAACAGCAGCAGCAGCAATGGCCAGGCAGCAGCGGACGCCGCGCGAGGACACGGCGAGAACGGGCACACTGACGCGCCTGCCGGCCCCGCAGGCGCCGCTGATGGCGCCGCCGCCGCAGCGGCCGGATCGCGCCTTGCCGACCGCCAGGCACGCCTGCGCCGCCTCCAGCGCCGCGCCGCGGCCGCAGCAGCGGCGGCAGCTGCAGCGCGGCGCCCTTCGGCCCGGGAGCCCCCGGACCTCGGGCCCATCCTCCATGGCGCCCCCTCGCTCCTGGAGCTCCCCCGTTCGCGCGCTGGCGCCGCAGCGGAGGCCGCAGGTAGTGTCGAGGTGTTGGCTGCGGCGGCCCCGCCCGCCGCCGCGGACCTGCAGGCCTGCTGGCGCGGCGCGCCCCTGGGGCCGCTCCCGGGCGGCGCGGAGGTGGCGCGCGACCGCGCCCTCACGGCCCGGATCGGCGCGGCGGTGTCGTGGGGCCAGGTGGAGGACGCGCTGCGGGACCACGGGCGGGCGCCCAACAAGCTGCACGTCGCGGCAGCGCTCTCGCGGCTGGCCCAGCTGCGGCTGTCAGGGGCGCCGGGCAGGGCGGCGGCCGAAGCTGCGGCGGGCAAGGCCGGCCTCGGCGGCGCCGCACCCACGGGCACCGTCACCAGCAACAGCGGCGGCGGGTGGGACGGCGCTGCCGCGGGCCGTCCGCCGCCCCTGGATGACCTGTGTGAGGGGCAGCAGGCCCTGGTGGAGGCCCTGGCCTCGCGGCTGGAGGGGGGCGGGTGGCGCGCCCTGGGGCCCATCGAGCTGGCTGCGGTGCTGACGGCCCTGGCGCGGCTGGACCAGCAGCTGGCGCCGCACCACGAGGAGGGCGCGCTCGCCGCGCTGGCGGCCGCCGCGGCGCAGCCCTCGCCGCGGCGGCGGCTGCGGCGCAGGGTGGTCACCTGCCTGTGGGCGCTCGCGCGGCTGTCTGTCACGCCGCCAGAGGGCCTGTTGCGGGCGGGCGTCCGCGTGAGCCTCGGCATCCGCGGCGGCGGCGCGGCAGGGCCCGCAGCGCCCAACGCCGGGCCGCCTGAGCCGCTCCCGCCCGAGGCGCTGGTCGCGCTGCTGTGGGCGCTCGGCCGCTGGCGCGCGCCGCTGGGCGCCGGGGAGGCGCAGGCACTGCAGGCGGCGGCGCGCGGCGCGGCGGCGACCCTTGGGCCTCGCGGCCTCGCGGTCACCGGCTGGGCGTTTGCACGGCTGCGGCTGCGGCCGTCTGTGGGCTGGGCGGAGGAGTGGGCGGCCGCCATGGCGGCGGGGGCGAGGTCAGCCAACGGCCATGACGTCGCTATGGCACTGTGGGCGGCGGCCAGCCTGCGGGATCCGGGGGAGTCTGCTGCACCGGGCTCAAGCGGCGGCGGCGGCGGCGGGACTCAGGGACGACCTCTCAGCACGCCAGCGATTGAGGCGGCGACAGCCAGCGCGGTGCGCGCAGAGGCGCCGCCTGAGGCCGCCGCCGCGTGGCGGCCGCCCCGCCAGCTGCTTGATGCACTGTCGCACCGCGCCGCCGCCGAAGCCGCAGCTGCCGCTGCGGCCGCTGCTGCCGCTGCTCCGCACGGCGGGGGTGCGGCTTCGACCGCGTCGGAGCTTGCAGTGTCGCTCTGGGCCCTCGGCCGCCTGCGCTTCCGCCCCCGGTCGAACGACCTGCACGCGCTCGCCTCCGGTGTCGCCGCCGCGGCGTCCGCCGGCCAGCTGGCCCCACAGGGCTACGCGATGGCCGCCTGCGCCCTCGCGCGGCTGGGCGCGACCCCGAGCGCCGCCTGGCTGGACGGCCTGCTGGGCCACGCGTACGAGGTGCTGCCCCTGTTTGGGCCCCGCGAGGCGGCCGGCCTGATGATGGGCCTGGGGGCGCTGCGCCACATCCCGTCGGAGCGCTGGATGCGCGTGTGGTGGTGGGACACCGCCGGGAAGTTGCCCGAGTTTGGGCCCCAGGAGCTGGCCCTCTGCCTGCGCGCGGCAGTGGGACTGGGGCAGGCGCCGCCGGCCGGCTGGCTGCGCGCGTGGCTGGCACGCAGCCTCGCTCTGCTGCGGGCGCGGCGGATGGGGGGGCCCGCGCTGCGCATGGCGCTGCCAGCGTTTGGCGCGCTGGAGCGTGCGCCGGGCGCTGAGTGGATGGCCGAGTTTTGGCGCCAGACGGGCGGCGAGGCAGGCCTAGCAAGCGTCAGCAGCATCAGCAGCAGCAGCAGCATCAACGGGGGCCGTGACAAAACAAGCAGCAGCAGCAGCAGCAGCAGCAGCAGCAGCAGCAGCAGCAGCAGCAGCAGCAGCAGCAGCAGCTTGCGCAGCAGGGGCGGCAGCAGCTCTATCAGCGTGGGCAACGGAGCCGTCGCGGCCTCGTCGTGCGACCTGGTCACGTGGGATGCATTCACCTGCGGCCGCGTGCTGTGGGCGCTGGCGCGGCTGGGCCAGAGCCCGCCGCCGTTGTGGGCGGCCGCGTTCCTGCGCCACACGCGGACGCTGCTGCCGTGCTGCCCGCCGCAGCGCGTGTCTGACATGGTCTGGGCGCTGGCGACGCTGGAGCTGAGCCCGCCGGATGCCTGGATGGACGCGTGCGCTGCGCGGCTGGCGGAGTGCGGCGCGCTCGAGGGGGCGCGCGGGTCTGCCGCAGAGCGTGCGGTGGCAAGGGGCCGGGGCCGCGGGGAGGATGGCCGTGGCGGTGCGGCGCCCGGGGCTCCAGGGCTGCCTCCGCGCCACCTGGCCCGGCTGCTGTGGGGCCTGGAGCGGCTGGACCCTGGGGGGCGCTGGGTGCCGCGGGACGGCCTGGTGCGGTGGCAAGAGCTGTGAGGGATGCATGCTGGGCTGCTGCGGCATTGTAACCTTGTATCCTGGTTGTGTGCAACCTAGCCCGTCAAACGACCGCAAATGAACCTGTCATCTGCAGTTTTTTCTTAGTAACGAGGCTCTTAGCTCCAGCAAGCTGTCAAGGCAGTCACATTCTAGCAGCCAGGATTGTGCCAACTCATGCACCTGGGGGGTAGCGCACCCCTGCCGTTTGGGACAGCCATGGACGCGCGTGACTACAGTACCAAACCGCAACCGACAAGCTCAACCTTGGAGGTGTTGTAGGGGCTGATCAAGAGCGGTGTGCTCGCATGCACACCCCTTGTTGACGCAGTCAAAACCCTTATTATATTACACTTTTCAGAAGCTTGTCTGTTGCGGTAGGCGCACCCATGATCACACAACGGCGGGTGTTCAGGTGTGGCACACCGCCATTTTCTTTCGCACCTGAAAAATCGCCTCACTGTCGCATGGGCGATAGGGCACGCATTCGTACCAACTCACTTTAGTGACAGCTTTATACCACGTATCATATGGCGGGGTCTGGGGGTTCGTTCCGCCTCGCATTGCATTGATCCAACTGCTCCGTCTCGTAGATATCAGATGCAAGTAGTTACAACAACCACCAAACATGTGAGCTGTCGTACTGACCTAGAGACGCCACCAAGCACGGCCCTTGATGCTTTGCCCGCCGATTGGCGCTGACGATGACGGGGCGCCGTCCAACGCATCCACCCTCTGACGTCGCAGACTTTTGTGCAGGGCATGCACGCGGGTTGTAGCATCCCCTTGCAGCCTGTAAAGGCTGCGAGCTTGCAGACAGCTCCTTGCTTGCACCCGTATGCATGGCTCAAAGCCAGGTGCGGTGCGTGCAGCATGCACGATTCAGGGTTTGCTTCGCGTGTTCTCGGGGATGTCTCATTGGAGCAGGCGTGCACCGCAAATGATGATGAACCTTCAAACGACCAGTCGCAGTGCCGGGAGCGCCGCAATAGCATTGTGCAAACACACACTTGAAGGCCTCCTCCGTCTGAAGCCCATTGTCGGGCTGGTGATCTTACACAAGCGCATGTATTACTTGAATGCACGCGGCGCTGGCCCGCACGATGCGACAGAAATATCAAACACCGCAGGTCGTCTGATGTCAGGGAATGGTGTTGCCCTGTGCTTGGTGCCGTTGCCCGCTCGTGTGGCGCCGTGGTCAAGTCCACACAAGTGCCCCCATGCATGCGACCTGTGTCTAGCTGCTAGGCCATTCACACAACCCCCTGACCGCGCTTGCTGCCGCGCGAAATAATATGAGTAAGCTCGACAATGCTGTCAGGGCCCTGTGATGCAACTTTAAGGCTTGCAATGTTGACCTAAGGCGTCAGCAGGTGAGGCATCAGCTAGCTGCAAGTCGTCACTCGGCCTGCCGCTGCTCATCCCGTCGTGCAGCTACATGCACTCTGTGCGTCTACCTGGCACTCCTTTCAGACGAGTGCTGCACTGACCAGTGAACGCACTGCCGGAGTTGTGTCTGATCATTTCAGCTCACACAAAACTCACTGCATGCAGGGATGCTGATGATGGGTGCGCTTGTTGCGTACTGACTCCAGGATCGCAGCGGTCTGCCACATGATGGATTGGCTGTGCAGATGCTGCCACCCAATACCTTGGCCACTGGTGACGATGTCTAAATGTGTAACAATTACTGTGAAGAGCAGCAACTCCCAACAACTGCTAGCCAACTGCCACGTGTTCACACACTGCGGCACATTCGCTTCAACACTTGCAGCAAACCCACAGCAGCATGGGTTGGGCAGGCTGCTTGCCATGCCCTGCAAAGCCAGATGGTTGGGCATGCATGTGGGGCAACGCTCTAGTGTGCTGAGCTGAAACCAGCACCGCCAGGACACGTGCATTTGAGGCGCGAAGCGCATGCCAGGTAGGGCGAGTCGCGCCACGACGGCCGTTGAGGGGTGTACAAGCAATGACAATTACTACAGCTCCGATTGTTGGTGAACAGCATCATGGTATGACGGTGGCGCCCTTCCGCGCGAAAATGCCTGCTTCAGCTCCAGATGTGTTCAGCTGCTGCTTGCTTATTGGGTGCCTTCCAAATCACGCCCCTGTGCCACCATGGTGCCAGGGCCACCGCTGGCCAGCTGTGAACCACAGCCAACAGGGTGATGAGAAGCCCTGCAGCCGTGCGAAAACTTGTCCCAACCAGAGGCAATCACTCCAGAAAATTCTTTGCACACTCACCGCCCCTCACAACTCGACGGTTCTCTGGTCACTCACTGTTGCGCTGTGCTGATGCCGCTATCTTGTTGCTGGAGACTTGTGCCACTTCCGGCTGCCACTGTCGGTTGGCTCACATCAAACCTCTCACCGAATGGACGGCCGCAGCAAATCATAATTGCGCGGCCATCCGCTGCTGGTTGCAGTGACCGTGTCGGTGCACCCTTCGCGCCCTCTCTTTCAAATGTTATACCGTAGCTCCCGTTCAGATGGGCCGAGGGCGGCTGCACTCAAGCTCAGGCGCGAACGTGCAAGCGCCGCGAGGGGTCTGCAGGCAGCCTCGTCACGCGTACATGTCGATGACGATGCGGCCGGTGTCGCCGCTGCTGGTCTGCGATTCGTAGGCTTGGCCGGCGGGCGTCGTAGGCGCAGCTGCCGGCTCTGTGGCAGGCTCCGTGGCCGGGGCGGTTGCCGCCTGGGGCACAACCACCGCC